TCGCAGGCAGCGAGCCGCGTGTAGAGGAATCAATCTAGCGGAGAGACAACTCGCCATTACTCGCTCTCCCACGGGTCTCCTCCGTGGCCACCATCGTCGTCTGCGTCTATTTCGTACGTCGTGCCCAGGGCCTCCTTGCCCTGCCTGATCATATCTCTAAGACGAGAGTTAAAATCATTAATCCGCATATCCGTCTCCATCTCATCCTTCATTCGCTTTGCCGCCAGGTTCCTAGCCTTAGCATCGAGTCGCGGGGTGTTGTCGTGCATCTCGAGGAGGGACTCTCGCTTCGTCATCTTGATAGGCGAGATCGACGCGGCAGACACGGCGCTCTGGCTCCGCCGGTGGCTCCGTTTCGCGTACGGGCTGGGGCTCGGTACTCGAGACGGCTGCTGTGTGAAATGGTTCGCTACAAAGGGACTGGGGGATTGTGGTCTGGAGGGAATGGGGATTCGGCTGGGGGCCTGCGCCTTCAAATCAGGGGATGGGGCTGGGGATCTGGTGGATGCGAAACTGGCAGGCTCGCGGGTCGAGATGGGAGCCGGGTTGGGTCGGGTGGGAGGATGACGGTTGAAATTCGGTGCGTTGAGGCGGCTAACGGGTTTGCTAATGCGTCGAGCCAGCGAGGGTGTTGTCGTTCGTTGCACCGGGCGGCGTGACGACGCTCGTGATGCAAGAGAAGGCTGTCGGCTCATGTTAGTTGGCTCATCAATCATGACCCAGTTCTTGCGCAGCTCATCAGTAGGGGTCCCATGCGAGATCTGTCTTCGCTTTGCTGCCGGCGGTGGTGTGGACTCGGGTGTCTCGCGTTCGTAGTATAATGGTGAATCGTCCGACTGAGGCACGTATGCCAGTACAGAGCTGGAATACCGTTCTACCTCCATGTTGGATGATTGTATTTGCGTTTCGTCAAACACCTGATATCCCGTACCGCCCCCAGCGTAGAAACCACGGAATGCGCCGGTCTTGCAGAATTCCCACACCCTGCCAACGACATCACCGATCGTATTGATGGCAAAAGAGCTCCAACCAGTGAAGATCTGATTGTCAGAGTCAACTGACATGGGCCTCAACGCCGGCGAGCCGACGTCATCGCGCGATCGTTTAGATCCGAGGGCACGCCTGTAGTCGACATCAGAATAAATGCTATCTTCCATATCCCCAAGCTCCTTCTGGATAGCTCCGTTGGGAGTTTCTATCTGGCCCGCTAGCACATATCGCCCCCCTTGTCCGTTTGTACGCAGGTCGAAGTCTGGGCGACCGTCGATGATATGATCTGCGTTGAAGTTTCCATTCCCCATCATGGGCCAGTCGCGGATGGGCGTGGACTCCCTTGCACCTATCCGCTTCCTCTTAGCGCTGGAGATGGGCATGAGTGACTCTGATTGCAAGCTTGCCGTTGACCTGCCCAGATACATCGAACTCGATACGGACGGGGACGTGGGGGGCCGAAAGAGGCCCGGATGCACGCCTGGGAAGGGTGCACCCCTGCCGCCACCGCCGTTTGGAAGGTCGAAGTGAAAAGTGCCGGACATGAGGATCTGAGGATTGTATGACATTTCTAATTCGGTGTCTGGATGGATATGAACAGCGGCGTGCGTATTTAGTTCGAAAAAGTGGCGGACGCTGGGCTGGCGGAAACGCAGTCGTGGTGGGAGCGTTAACGCGCGGCCTCGGGTGTTGCGACGGTTGATTTGGTCGATATGTACCTAAAATAAAACCTAGATGTTTTAAACAGTCGCTCGCCAACTCGCTCAATAAGAATATCGGAATGTGTGGATTATCGCCGACCTCGTGTTGTCGGCGTTGGTTTGATTTTGTTTGGTACGGTTGAAGCTATTCGGTTTGTAAGTGAAGGTTTGTCGCGGAGAGCGTCGGTCGCGGCTGAGGAGCGCGTGATCCGATGAATGATTTTGCGACGGTGTTGGGGTTGCGTGTATAGTGTCGATAGCTGATGCGATCGGTATTCGCGTTGAACTACCTACTACTCGGTAGTTCTATTCGAAGATCGACGGCCGGCACGCATCAAAAAACCATCGAGTACAGTATAGGTAGGTATGCTGTGTGCGTGGAGCGGAGGAAGATACGAGGGGGTGCGTAACGTAACGGCGATGACCGAGGCCAGATTTGATGGTGCTGATTCCTTCCTACTTGCCGGCGTTGACTGGCCCCCTTACACGCAAGACACATGACCCGACCCAAGGTCGGAGCTGTGCCGGCAACAGGGCTAATGCCAGCAGCCGGTGTGACATATGGCTGAGTGCTCGGAAAGTCTATTTAGTCGCGAGAGATAGTCCGGGTTCTGCATAGGTTCAACCCACGCGCAGGCAAAACCCGGGGAGTGTGTAGTTTGAATGCGCTGTGCTGCCTCTGCATGCGAGAGAGGAGCTGCTCTTGCGCTCGAACTGGCGAAGGAGCATTGGTTGGTTGTTTTGGTCTCGCGTTGCTGGGCCAGCATGCAGTTAATCAAACAGTCCCTATTCCGGGTAGTCGACGGCCTAGAATCAGCTGGGGTAAGGTAGGGTGAGTGCTGGGGTGGTTGATAGGTAGGTATGTGATAAGATCCCCTGGAGCGGGGCATTGCGGGGGACATTCACTCCAACCCTGCTGCCTGCAGTACCTGTACTTTTGGGTGGCACAGATGATTTGCTCGTGCTGGTGATTAATAGGTAACCTACATAGGTACTTCTTTGATATACAGTAGGTACATACCTCCTACCTGCCTACCTAACATCCTAGTATAGTAGGCACTTGAGTACAGTACATGTAAGTAGGTGGGTAACTTCAATGAATTTGCTTCTGTATTTTGGGTATACGTCTATCTCTAGGTGCCCCGTCGCCTCTAATGAGCTCTATCCGCTTTCCCTAGGTACTGTACCGCAGCGTGAGCAACCTCCCTACCAAATGTACCAACCAAATAGCCCCAGCCTGGCCTATGGCGAAGATGATTGTGATTATCGTTTGGCTCATGATAAGACTCTTTAGGGAGCAGCGTCGCCCTCTTTGTTGTAGTAGGCCTCCTGCTTCTTAACCTTGTCGGCCTTGACACCACCGCCGACACCCGCTTCGCCGTGGACGTGCTCCTGGGTCCCCCAGAACTCGTCGCGCTCCTTGAGTACCTCTTCGGCCCATTTCTTCGTTTCCGGGAGCACTATTTTCGTAGCCACGTAGGCGAACTCGCCCAGGTCGAGAGCCTTGTTGGCGCGCTTCTCGTATTCCACCATCTGCACCAGGAGTTCCATCTTGTCGAGATCGTGTACGAAGTGGCTGTCAAGCGTCTCTGAGTCCTCGTATTCCTGCCAGATCGCCCGGATGTCGGCGCCTGCTATGCCGCCGTAGACCTTCCCGAGTAGGTTCTTCGATATGTAGTCCATTGTCTCGGCCTCGCGACGGCTCTTCTCTGGCTTTGCGACACCGTCGACTGGCGTGATGTCGCCGACGATGGCCTCCGCCATGTCGTGGATCAGGCACATCTTCATGCATTTGAAGAGGTCGAGTTTAGGTGCGAGAGTGGGCGGGCAGAGCATGGTCATGAGGGACATGCGGTACATGTGGTCGGATATCGATTCGCCTCTGCGCGCATTCCTGTCAGCTCATGAACATCGGTGATGAGGGATGTTTATGGACGGTACCTCTCAATATTGAACCGTCTCCATCCCTCGCGCTTGTTGGTCTTTAGTCTCTCGAGGATGTGGAAGTATGGAACAGGCGAGTCGGTCCCTTCGGCGGGCGGTGCCGGAGACATGGTAGCTATCACCTTGTCTACCGTCCATGGCTCGGAGATCTGGGGTGTCGTGACGATGCCGGGATCTGAAAGGCCTATTGTTTAGTCCTCGCGATGCAAGAAGGGGATATAGACGGGATGACCGACCGACAAAGCCGTTGCTATCGCCATTGCCAACACCTGATGACATCTTGTCTCTCGTGGTTTATTAGCAGCTCTGATGAAAAGTTGGCCAAGCGTTGAGAAATTCTGGTATCAGTTGCAAATGGTGTCAGGCGCAGAGAGAGAGAGGATTGATTGCTACGGGTCTGGATCAGAGATAGATGTAGGAAGAGAGAGGAGTTGAGAGCCCAAAACTAGGTCAGTACAGGTAAGTAGGTAATATGGGTAATGACGAATGCGCCGGGTTGTAGGTTGCCTAGGTGCGTTTGCTTCTGCTCATCTACAGAAATATCTGGTTAGGTAGACATGTTAGGTTAGTTCCTTTGTTTATGATCAGTTCACGGCAACACTCAGAAGCTGCCCGAAGTTCACTGCAGTTTCTCGTTTCCGGGTTAGGAGATGTGAAGGGCATGTGAACTCCCCACTGTACTGTGGAAGCTGCATGGAGACCGGTACCTGGACCCTGCCCGTCTCGATTGGCACATGGATTACCCATCTTGCTATTGGATAATACCGGGCTATACCTAGCTCCGGTGCCGGACCCATTTAGTTATACATTTTCAATTCAAAGTCCATTACTATGTATGGTGATGTCAACGGAAACCAGGCAACATATCAAACATTCCATCTTAGTAATCCTGCAGGTTATGACCAAAGTGCTATAGTTGTCTGGGTCCAATTACAGCAAAGGAAATCCTCATGGTACTAGGGTTGATACATAGATACATGGAAGTACCGCTTGCGTTTATTGAAACATTTAACTGATGAACCAACTGTCTTATGTTAACTTATAGCTTAGACATGTCCATTCCAGAAATCATTACGGAGTACAATAAGATGATTAGTAATAAGTTCACTTAATACCAGCTGTTTTCTTTCTTACAGTAATGTTAGGTGCCAACCCAGTTGGTTGGTCTCAAGTGAGAACCAGCTTCTGGCTTGTGCATTGCGTGGTCCCCACTCTACCTGTGAGCACACCAGTGGATACTGTAGGTATCCACTCTAGCTCCATAGCCGATACAACCTCATCCATGTCGTCTACCCAACCCAGAATAGCCCCCCATTTTCCTCATAGATCCCGATTTGCATCAAACAGTCATTCAACCAGCAATCATCCGAATTGGTGTAGTGGCCAACATTTGACGCTCTCAACATAGTGAAGTACCGTCAAGCCCGGGGTTCGATTCCCCGATTCGGAGTTCCTTTTTCCATTTTTTTTCTTCTGTTCTACTCCTTATGCACCACATGTTTTCTCGCTCGCCGTCCGACTTTTCTTTCGTATACTTTTTGTGTGTTGCTTTAACACCTCGAAAATGGATGGTGTCACTTGGTGATATGCACCCGCGTACAGAAGCTCAAGATTCAGCACCGAGTGAAATAGAACACAGTTTGGGTTACATCGAGAACATGAGTCTTCTGTATGGTTGATTGCCCACACATGATCTCACCACCACCATCATCATCATTGCTTTTTCCGGCCCCCTATTTCAGCAATTCCAGGATGAGTTTCTTGTTTTTCTCAATCGACTCCATGATCTCACCAACGAGGATGTACTCGTCCTTCCCATGCGCCACGCGGATCGAACCCGGACCATAGAGCACCTTTTTATGATCGCCTCGCAGTCTCGGTATATCCGTACCGTACGCCATAGGCTCCGCTTCGAAGCCCTCGAATTCCCACTGCAGCACCATCTCAGGATACTGGAACTTGAAGTCGACGTCGACATCGGGGTGCTTATCTATCACATCCCTCACCGTCTTCTTAATCCCTTCTATGTCCTTCGACACGCGAATGCTGCAGAGCGCCTTAGCTTCCGCCGCCAGAATGTTGTACCCGGCTCCGCCCTCTATCTTGCCGATGTTCAGCGTCGATGGACCCAGGAGGTCAGAAACTGGCAGTTCGGCGCCCCTGAGGTCGTGAATTGCATCAAAGAGAAGTAGCGTCGCGCTCTTGCCTAGGTGTGGATATCCAGAGTGGCTTTGCGTAAATGATCAAATTAATATCCCCCCTCTCAAGCTCAAGCAAATGCAAGGGATGATATCTCGACATGCTTACCAGGCTTTCCCGCGAGCGATCACTTCAAACACAAGATTGCCCTTGTGTCCCTTCGCCACCTTTCCCTCCGTAGGCTCGGCAAAGAGACCTGCTTCCCAGGTGAGCCCCATATCGTTCGCGGCAATCATTCCCGGACCGCCCTTCTCCTCGCCGACGACCCATAGAAAGCTCACGTCCCCATCCTTCAGCTTTCCCTCGGCGCGCAACTCCTCCACGGCGAATATCTGCGCGACCATGGGGCCCAAATCATCGCAGGCGCCGCGCCCGCGGATTACGTCGCCGTCAATGCTGAAGGGGATGTGAGGCGGCACAGTGTCCATGTGCGCCGTCACCAGCAGCCGCGCTTTTCGCTCCGCGCCGAGATATGCGTAGACATTGTGTCGTGTCGAGCCCGGTTCGATGGCAATTCGTTCCGCCGTAAACCCCCGCCCTTGTATGTACTTTTCCAGGTACTGTCCGATCTCGAGTTCCTTTTCGCTCGTGCTCTCAATGTTCATGAGTGTCTTTAGGAGCTCGACTACCTCCGTTGAATCTGTTTTAGTCGCCATGATATCACGTTAAGTTTTATCTGCTTTCTTATCCTTAGTCACGATCTGTGAGCAGTGTTACACTTTGAAGTAATTGTGCTTATTACAGCAGCATTACGCCGTGGTCAATACGTGTTGGGAGACCTATAGCGTATCTATTCGATCAGCCCCGGGCGGGGTCGCCTTCAGCTCCGCAGTTCTCTCCAATTCAGCGTTCCCCATCAGAGGTGCGATTTACATCCTATACCAGATCCAATCCCTCTGAGAATTGTATAATTATTGATTTGTGATGTTAAGAGCATGCGTAGTCTTGATTAATCAAATAGAACTGATCCTCCGCCCTGCGTGCTTGTACAATATGACGAACTCACAAGCTCTGATTCTAACTTGCAACTACCATTTTCATATACTTCGCGTGCTGAGTGGATTTGAGAGTTCAATCACCAGCAACTCATATATCATGTTCTCTCTGCTCTCAAGCTGTTACTGCAGTTGGTGGGAAGTCAGCACTCGATGACGTCATTATCATGATCCTCTCGAATTACTGTCGATGCGATATTCGAGTCGTTACCATCGAACCACTCTATAGCCGTAAGGTGACATGAATGAAATAAAGTTGTAGAACCATATCAATCAAGCAGCATTTCTTCATGCCTCAAGAAAAGCCACAGTGAATCCCGGGCGATGATCACTCAAGAGTGTCTCCTACCTAACCTGAGATAATACAGACATATCGTCTAATTCATAGATATCATCCCCCAACCCAGCAAGGCTACAAACCAAGCACCAACCCCGCCAGACCTAAAAGGAAATCTCTACGTCCGACGTCACAAACCAACTCCGCGAATCAAAGCGTATATCTGAGTTGTGTGCGAGATACTTCCTACCACATCTCCCCCCTCCTAAGTCCGCCACAGCCTCAGACCTATCATCTCCAATAATTCCCCCGCACCAGCATCCGCCCACGATACTCTTCCGCATAGCCTGCAGCGGAGGTATTTCGGTCTCTAGCCTCATGCTTGTGTCGGTGACTGTACATCTAGATTGCGACTGTCAAGATGAGAGCGACTCAAGAGCATGCCCTTCGGTCCCTACTAGTGTAGATATGTGAGTGGGATGTAGTGCACCACTCGACGGCTGCCCTTTTCCCCCTCTCCGACACCCGTATCAATTCTCACTATTAAACTGGTCTACTCTTCGAACCTTTTTCTTGAAAGCCTAATTCCTAGTAGCGTAAATTCTTAACGAGGCTACATGATGAGTTGAAAACAAAGTTCTGAACATAGTACAATCACACCAACAGATCTAAAACCTGTATCAGTGAAATCATCGCAATGCATTAAGCTATCTAAGCGTATGGGTCCTAGACTATGGCTACTCTAAGTCCATGAAACGAGATGAGGCTCTTCCGGCCGGTGTTTGTACATGTGCATGTCAAATTTGTGAGCAGCGTTGTAGATATGGATTGAGAGACTCGATCCTTGCCACAATGCCGCTGTGGGCAGTGTATCAAGCTTCTTCTCCTCTTTTAATTCTTTTTCCGATCTTTTATTTTTGTTTCTTTTCGTTCCTTCCCCTTTTTTCTGTCCACCTTTCTCCCTCTCTCTTTTTTTTCCTCGTTGCTTTTTTCTTTTCTTCGCAATCACGACCATCGTATGTCCTCGTCACTTTCGTATAAAATAAGAGGACTTGCTGGAACTCTATAGAAGCGCGACGAGAATACCTTGGGATTGTCGCTACTACTTGGTCAGGGAAACGGTGATAGTTAAACATCGTTATCCTCCTCAGCCTCTTCAGAGTCATCTGACTCCTCGTCCAGCTCACTTTCATCCCCGTAGGGTAGCACCGCGAGCTTTCCATTAGCGGACTTTTTAACACGACCGAATAATGAAACCATCTCCTCGGTAGAAGGCTTCCACTTCTCGCCGGGCTCCATGATCTTGCTAATGTTCTCTTTCTTCTGTGCTTGGAGGGCTTCTATTCGGTTATCGATAGTGTTCTCGGCGACAATGCGGAGGAAGTGAGTTTCCTTTTCTTGTCCGATACGAAAAACTCGTCCAAATGCTTGCATTTCAATAGCATGGTTCCACCATAGATCCACGATAATAACTCGGTTCGCTATCATCAAGTTTAATCCCACCGCGCCACACCCCAGAGACGCAATCTTATAGTTGTTAGATATCTGTGCTTATTAAACTGGATAGAAACTTACCATAACTTGAATCTCTTTTTTCTCTTTAAATGCCCGAATAGCGTTTTCCTTCTCTGCCGAAGCCAGATCTCCAATAAAGTAGACGAAGGAAATACCCTCGGCTTTTAGCATGCGCCCAAGGATCGCACAAGTCATTTTGAAAGATGTAAAAATAATGATTTTGTCGTCAGGGGCCTCTAAGCGCCACTTGATGATGGCATCTTTGATAGCCGTTGTTTTTGCACTCGGAAGCACGGGTTCGGGGTGGGCTTGGTCGGATTGTTGAAGAAACTTGCATTGGAATTTTGGGTGTTTGTTAAGACTATCGCGGCCTAATTTCCATCCGCCGCGAGGAGTTGTAGACCCTTGAGTGTCTTTGTGTTCCGCATCCGACTGCTCAACTGGCTCATACAGAGTCAAGGATTTGTTGCAGTCGGGGCACTTGGGTATCATGCGTCCATCCTTGAATTCATTTCGCCAATGGTCCTCGATGCACTGCCTGCAAAAGACATGCTCGCACTAGGTGACAGTGTTAGCAAAGTCATTTAATACCAAAGCGAGGAGCTTACTTTGACAGTTTGCGGATCATTAGGCTCCTGGTAACAGATCCGACACAGGTCCTTGTTTTGTGAAGCCAGTGCAAGACTTAGCTGTTTATCCATGTTAAACTCGTAACCGAATTGACTATTACCAAAGGTGCTTTCTGGGTCGTCATCATCCTTTTCATCTTTTATAACAATCGCTTTCTCACCGCACCACTTTCCGATGCGCTGAAAAACATGTTGTCCGCCCTTAACTTCTTGCAGTCGACGCCTAATTTCGAGGAGATCTTCTGGCTTTAGCTCTTCCTTCATTGTTGTCTCTAAAAGAAATGGATGAGCTACGCTTTGCCGGAGCCGTGTGAACAACAATAAGCAAAGTCCTTCGATGTCTTTTAGCCGAACTTGGCGTCCCCGGGCCTGGACTTTCTCCAAAACATCGTTGATCACACCACGAAACCTTTCTTCAAGGACGCTTTTGAATATCAGCCGCCATAATAAGAATTCAGCACGGTTTATATACCTGTAGATTATCCGCTCTTCTTTCGTGAGACGAACACGCCTTATGTCGTAATGGGGCTTAGGGATTTCGTAAAGTGGCCGGCCCATGAAGCTATCCTTCATAGTCCTGTCATATGTCAACAATTATAACATGGTCTCTCTGATTAGACTAAATTCGTACCTTCTAAGCATGATTGTGTTCATCATCGTACTGAGCTCATTCATAGCTGAAGCCTGACATCGGTAAGCAATAGACCATATGGAGCATGGTATAAAGGCTCATAATTACATCTTCAGTGTTTGAGTAGAGATACCGAAAGTCTTTCGGGTCACCAACCCCATTGACTTTTAGAAACTTCAAGTATGGGTAGATCTCTATATAACA